CGGTATCCTTTTTACTGGTTATTTTAATGTTATTTATCGAGAGATGTTTTACAGTGTTTGATTGGTATTTGCCTGCTATTTTCTTTATCATATTCCAGACAGATTTTATTTTTGTAGCAGAATTAAGTCTGTTGACATAGTTATTCCAGCATCCTTTTTTGGTTTCTTTAATTATTTTCCATGCTTTTGCTCAGAGTTGCTTAAACTGCAGCAAATTAGAGGTTGGAGGTAGATTGTTGAATTCTTGTGCTCTTCTTCGCCTGGTGGCTTTTTTACATTTATCATTGAACCAAGGTCTATTTCGTTTTTTCTTTTTGGTGCTGAATTTTTTGGAATGAATTTTTTTGGCTAAAGAGATGAGGATTTCTGTGGAATGTTTTAAGTCCTTGATGTTTTTTCCTTGAACTAGTTTTTCAGAACATTGGTTTGTAAATTCTTTCCAGTTCCCTCCGCCTAATTTTCAACAAAGAGGATTTTTATCATTGCGTTCTGAGTTTTGTAGGACGATTGGCAAGTGATTGCTACCGTATGTGTCAGCCAGTACCTTCCAAGAGAAATCCATATATAAATTGATGGATCACATAGGGATAAGTTTATTGCCGATTAGCTGCCAGAAAATGGATTTATGCAAGACGGGGCTTTATCATTATAAATGCATAAATCCTTGTTATAAATTATTGTTTCTAAGGTCCTTCCGTTTTGGCTTTTGTCTTGTAACAGTTAAAGTCCTCTAGTATTATAAAAGGAGCAGAGAGTTGCTTTATGATTTCCTGAATTTCATTACTGGTTCATTCGGTGGGATATATACTGAACAGATGTTTATTGGCCTGTGTAAGGTCACTTTAGTAGCAGTCGCATCTAAAATAGTTGTTAAATAATTTTACTTTGAGGTTCATCATTCCTAACTAGGATGGTTGTACCGCCTGGGGCTCGAATCCAGGTGTTATGCGTTTAGTTGTATTGCTGGTATATTTAGTTTGTCATTTTTCTTGAGGAACGTTTCCTGAAAGCCAACAACTGCTGGTGATTGGTCTGTTATTAGCAGAAGCAGTTCATTTATGTTCGCCTTTATTCCGAGGCAGTTTCATTGAATTATTTGATACATGATTGCAATATTTTTATTTAGCTTATTATGTGGTTGTGTTTTTCCGAGGTTTTGAGTTTGGAGTTTTTGGTCGTTTATCGGTTCTGGCTTTACACCTCCATTTCTTCCAGTTTCTCAACTCGGTTTTGTACACAAATTTTGGTCACTGTGTATCTCTGGTTTTTAGCCTGGCTGGTTCTGTGCTCTTTTTTTTTTTTTTTTTTTTTTTTTTTGGTGTGGGGAGAGATAAGTTCTTAAGTCCATCTTTGATGGTTTTTGATAGACGGATAGATCACTGTGACCTTTGTTTTATAGGAGATCTTGTATTTTTTGAAGGAGTGGTTTGTGTTTGAGTGGAAGATTTTGATTTGTTTTGGTTTGTATTTGTTCTTTATTTTTTATTTCAATTCTTTCATTGGCTTTCTTTTGTAGTTCAGTCTGCATTATCTTCTTGGCGTATATGTCTTTCTGGTACTTTTGAAATTTGGGTCAGTTATTTGGTCCTAAAGATACGAGCTTCTCAATAAGGGCTCTGTGTTCGCCAGGCTGACTGGTATTCCTTGTAATTATTTTTGCATAGGAAGGATCTTTCATCTAGCTTTCTACTGTTTACCTTGATTCTAGGAATGAGACATTTCCTTTATGTTTCACCATGACTCTTTTTTTTCCCTTTTCCAGAAGTCACATGATCAGGAGTATGCTGGATGCTTTTCCTAGCAGTTAGCACATCTTATTTCATTCTGGCAGTATATTTTTTCAATATTAGTACCTATATATTTTTCAAAATTAGTAGCAGTATATTTTTTAAATATTAGTAACCATATATTTTTTCAATATGAATAGCAATATATTTTTCCAACATTAATAGCCATATATTTTCAATATTAGGAGCCATATATTTTTTTAATATTAGTAGCCATATATTTTTTCAGTATTAGTAGCCGTATATTTTTTCAATAGTAATTTATTTATTTTTCAATATTTGTAGCAGTATATTTTTAAAATATGAGTAACCGTATATTTTTCCAATATTAGTAGTATATTTTTAAAATATTAGTAGCCGCATATGTTTATCCTTTGTCCCTGTTTATTTCTTCCATGACGTTACAAGAATAACCTTTTAAGACAATCATTTGGGGGACGATCTAAAATTCAGATTTAGATTGAACAAGTGTTCTATCTTTGAAGTTTGTTTCTAGTGCCAATGAAATAGAAAACATTACGGAAACTCCTTGGTAGGATTTTCTATATTTTTCATTTTTTTTTTTTTCATTTTGAAATTAAAGGATAAAAAAGCAATAAAAATTGTATGGTTGGAGTCAGTAATTTTTTATTTTTTTAGCTTTATCGCGAATTGTCTAACTTTTGATATTTTCCAATTTTTTTTCTAATACAGCATTTTTCGTTCTAGATTTTTCACTTCTCCATTTGTTTTAATGTCATGTCCCTTCAGGACGTAGATGATCATAATCCTCCAATTTTTATTATCTGCGTATTGGCATGAATTGTTAGGAAAGATAGTGGAGTGGTTTCCCACTGCTTTCACCACGTTTGGAATTTAGAGTTTTCCTCTCTCACTAGATCGGTAGCCACCTAGAGACACTTTAAAATGCTATTTAGTCCCTAGTTTATATAGACGGACTCATATCTCTCTAAAAGGGAAATAGTGCAAACTTGCTGGCAATAGACTAGCCTGAATTTTGGGCTCGGTTCGTTCATGGCCGTTACTATACCGACACATCCTCATCTTCGTTCGAAATCTTAAAATCTTTTTCTGCGTCAGCATATTGTAAAATGCCTCTTTTCACTTATTCCTAATTCGCTTGAATACACTTGTCACTTTCGCTTACATTTATATAAGCAACACTTTGCGAAGATACCGTTGGACAGATCCATATGAACACGGCACTAAATCTCTCATACGTAAAATTATTTTTTATTAATCACTGGACTTTTGATATCGATGTGTAGCTGTGTTCCTCTTGGTGAGGACGTTCTCCGAATGTGGATCTCCTTCTCATGACGATGTGTGAGATTCTCTGTCTTTTCCCTCTTGAGTGCAGGGCTTGTATATCTTCCTGCTATCCGGTTGACCCACGTTTGCAGATTGCCTGTTTATATGTCAGAAGCGGCCACTAACATCCTGTGAGACGTGAATCTGCACCTGGTGGTTAGGAGGTCACGTTTAGGTCAACCCACTGATGCACCTGATTTCTCTGACACTCTGTTGTGACACTGAATATAAAGACTTTTTTGGTATCTGGTGTGAGCCAAGTAAATATTGGGGTCGTCACAGGTCAATTTTTCTTACAAGAAAGGTTCCTTATTGACATTAATTTCGATTCAGATTGATTTTTTACTCTCCGCAATTACTTTAGTACTGTTTACGGCAAGTTTGTATCGTTGGCGACAAAACCGATTCCAAAACCAGTCTTTTTCTGGTGAGTAAGTTGGCTATACACGAAGCAAGATTAAAAATAAAACCTGTCAAAGGGCGGATGAACCTTCATGTTGAATCAACGTCCATCTAGCACAATGGATAAGATAAAGATCTATAGCTACGGATGTAGCCTGTGCGGAAATGACATAGCATTGTTGCGCGGTGGGTTTCCAAGACTGAAGTTAACGCGGAAAGTTCCCTTGCTGGAATCCAACAGCTATGTGTCCGTAACCAAGACGAGCCTTCAAGTTCGAAGATATCGACTGTGGTTTGGCCAAGAAATGGATGGGCTCCGGCAGGTATACATGCCCAAGACATGCTATGCATGAATACCTCTCTGATTTTCAACCCGGATATGTGGAGGGAATTGGTCAGATTTTCAGCTGCGCCCACCCACCCTACGACCACACCCGGTCATGGGACTAATTTCTACACATTGATATCTAATTGCCATACCTCAATAGATCATCTTGAAAGTGCAACAACCTATTTCCCAGAGAAAACCAAATAAATCTAAAGTTAGTCGCGAGGCTAACTGCAGGTAATTAAAAAGAGCAGATTTATGATCTAATGTTTACTAAGCTCCACTAAACATTTTCTGTTACTAATTGTTCACCTTATACAAGGCCTAAGAGCTACTCAAGATAGAGTGTTACTGAATGAGGTTGTTTTAACGGTAGATTATGAGAATATGTATGATAGGTAATGGCTGACACTCGATGGAAAGAGGTTAAGATTGTTGCGATCGAGGAAGCATCCTCTCGGGTGCCTGTAGAAGAAACTATTCACTTGAAACTCTTACCAAAAGAATGCGAAAGGAACGGAGAGGATTCAGCCATGTATACGTGTCATGGCAGACCCTCGCTGTAAAGGCATGAACTGGTAGAACTAATGAATGTATCTTGTCAGAACATTTGCCCCACGGGACATCCTTATTCCAACCGCCTCTTTTTAGTCTGAGAATGCTTAAAAGCTAAATTAAAGTGTGGGGGGGGATTTCCTGAGGAATAATCGGTATATGGTTGTCCCAGCTGGAATAATCATCCCGGTTAGTCTATTTGAAACTCAAAGGTAATTTAACGGCATCGGGCAAGCGCAAATTATGATGGTAAGATTATGCTGCGCCATTATTCCAAGATGGGTGTGCGGGTGGGTTTGCCTTGAAAATCAGCATTTAAAATCTTAACATTTTACTTGATTGACTAATTGATTCGTTTTCTACGAGGGGTCAACCCTTTGCGAGTTATTTAATGCCAGAAAATATTTTTACATTGTAAGACCTCTTTTTAGATAATAATAGTTTAGTAATACAAGTCTTATTGATTAACCCATAGCTGGAGTGAAAAGAGGTGGATTCATGCCTTTCCCACGGGTATTTATACGTAAGTTAATATAACGAACCAAACGGGAATTGGAACTCCACTCTCCGATTAACAATTCCAAGCTATTATCCATTACACCACTCGCACATCCAAGCTTACAACACCAAGTACTTCCAAACGGTCACCCATCTAGGTACTGACCAGACTCAACGTTGCTTAACTTCAGTTATCGTACGGAAACCGTTGTTTCAAGTTGATGTGACCTTTCTTGCAATGGTAAAAAACACATAAATATCGCAGCTACAAGGCAGATCCAAAACAACCAAGTAAAAAAAAAATGCCGTTATAATAATAATAATAATAATCAGTGTCAAAGAACATGGAAGAAATACGAAACTTTATTCAGTGATAAAGGAAGCCAATAAATTCAAAAGTGGATTTCAAGTGGATGAAGAATTGCAAATAAACCATAAGGCACCTACAGCAGCGGCAAATAACCTAAAAAAGAAATCAAAATTAAATGCAATATACAAAATGAAGAAACGATGTCAGGATAAACCTCTACATGGCCAATACTCTGCCCTTACCAAACAAGATGATGTCAACAAACCCTGTACACATCAGTAGTTACGTACTGCAGGATTAAAAACTGAAATCGAAGGTTTTATTCTTGCTGCACAAGGCCAATGCTTGCTAACTAGACATTACCGAGCTCACATATTGAAAAATTGTGTTAAACCCAAATGCAGAGTCTGTGATAAATATCCAGAAACAATTGACCATCTTGTATCAGGTTGCACCCACTGAATATAAAACTCGTCATGATAGAGTGGGCCAATATCTGCACTGGAAAATACGCCAGTTTTACGGGAAATAAACTGCAAGAAACTGGTATGAACATCGCCCAGTCCCGGTTACAGAGATAGGACCAGTAACAATTTTATGGGACTTTACAATACACACAGAACAATCAAAGCTAATTGTCCATAAATCTTGATAAAAAAAACCACAAAACAGAATCTGCTTTCTTATTGACATTGCCGTCCCTGCAGATTGTAATGTATCTTTGAAGAACTGTCAAAATACAAGGATCTTGAAGTGGTAATCTAAAAAATGTGGCACATGACATCAGTAATTCAATTTGTAGTTGGGCCCTCGAAGTGATTGGAAAAGGTTCCGGTAGACTTATTGAAGGGATTGTAGCCCATACCATAAAGAAATACAAAAATTGTTCTCACATGTACAGTCCACACATTACGAAGAGCTTTATCTATACGTGTGAATGTTTTTCAAAACTGCTCAGTGAAAAATGTCATGATGACATTACTAACCTTAAGTTATCGTGACACAGAAAAAAATGAGTATATACCAGAAATCAAAGGAAATAAAATAATAATTTGGAATCTTCCAATCCAAACTGATAAAGAAATTATAAAGGCGAACAGACTTGATAGACTAATGAAGGATAAGGAAAAAACTTATCTGCTCATCGATATGTCTGTTCCCTCCGGAAGAAACACCACCCTAAAACCACAAAAAAATTTACAAATATAAAGATCTTTAAATCGAAACTAATAGAATATGGGACAAGAAGACCACAACAATATCGGAGGGAATAGTTGATCTCTGCTTGGCCAAGAACTTCTCAGCTCTGCTCACATATTTAGAAACACTTTATCCGTCAAATAAACTCATCACACTCTCATGCTAGTCCAAGTGATGTACTCGGCTCCCTGATTAAACAAAACAGGACATTAATAATAATAAAAAAGACCCTGAATCGTAATAACTGGATGAGGCAGCCAAGGCGATTTGGGGGTCACATCTAAATTTCTGTGAACACGATCCGAGACCGCCTGAGCGAACTGAGTTATCAACCTTGAACGTATTTCTGGAAGTCATGGAAAACCTAGCATCATATTGAACATTTCACTCTAATACATATGTCTGGCGCATATCTTTATTAGACTGGGTTTCATGATGTATATATTCGGTTTCGTATAGCTGTAGATTCTTACTATTGTACCCCGTTGTATTATTTCTGATTCTAATAATAATAATAATAATAACAATTGATCATCTTGTATCAGGTTGCACGGTATTGGCCCCCACTGAATATAAAACCCAGCATGACAGACTTTGCCAATATCTGCACTGGAAAATATGCAACTTTAACGGAAAGGAGTGAAAGAAATTGGTATGAACACCGCCCAGACCCGGTCACGGAGATAGGACCTGTTACAATTTTATGGGACTACCCAATACACGCAGACAAAACAATCAAAGCTAATCACCCAGACATTGTTATTAGACCACAAACAAAAGTGCCCCCTTATTGATATGGCAATGATATTAAAAAAGCTATCAAAATACAAGGACCTTGAAATCGAAATCACAAAAATGTGGCACATGGGAACATCAGCTCTCCCTGTTGTAGTTGGGCCTTCGGATTGGTTGGAAAAGATTCCAGTAGACTAATTGAAGGGATTCCTGGAAGTCCATGCCTTAAAGAAATACAAAACATTGTTCTCACGAGTACGACCCACACCTTACGAACGGCTTTATCTATGTAAAATATTTCTTCTTTTTTTTTTTTTTTTGTCAGTGCAAAATGTCATGATGCCATTTCTTAGGTCTCTAGGAGGGACCCGGAAAGAAATACACACCAGAAATCAAAGGAATAACAATAATAATAATATCCTAATTCCGCGCCAGGAATGGTTCTTATGGTTTCTTATCTTAATTGATTGCAGGTGTTAACATATACAGGTTTTACTTTCGTGAATTAAGATGGGGTACCGTAAATATCCCAATCAGTACCACATATGTCCTTGTCAGTTGCTTGGCGTACCCCAATATCTAGATATTACTCCCAAGTCGCCTCTCGACATCCAACCATGATGCTCACTCACTATTCTCGTTGAGCATCATGGGTGGATGTCGAGAAGAGTGGTAAGTCTAAAGGATGAAGCAGTCAAGGTGACTTGGGAGTCATAGCTAGATTCTGATGGACGCCCTTAACCGGAAACCGACCTGAAGGTATTTCTAACTAGGCCTCCACCTGAGAGAGTATACGCTTCGTTTATCAAAGCCTGCCACCATATCGCGCACATATGGCGTTGCTGTGGCGCATATGCTTGGTATAACCTTATCAGGTTTTCAGGGACGAATATGTTGGGCTTCGTATATTTTGGACCCCAGCGTCACTCGGTTGACGTGTTCCTCTCACTCAATAATAATAATAATAATAATAATTAAAAGATTGTTTTGATTGACTGATTTGATTTTTACGGCTTATCAACACTTTGTAGGTTAATTAAAACCAGAAAATATTTATAGTCGGTAAGAATTGATTTAGTGATACAAGTCTTGCTAATTAACCCATAGCTGGGGAGAGAAGAGGTGGATTCATATCTTCCTTAAGGGTATTTACGTGTGTGAATACTCCGAACCCAACTGGAATTGGAACTCGGCATTTAACAATTCCGAACTATTATCCATTACACCACTCTCACATCCAAGCTTACAGCACTTGGAATTCCCAAGTGATCACCTATCTAGGTACTGACCAGGCCTGATATTGCTTAACTTCGGTGATCGTACAGAAACCGATGTTTCAACACGTTGATATGACCTTAAAATTAATAAAAAGAAACAATCCGAAAAAATGAAATTGTTTAACTTGATTAAATCGCAACCAAGCGTCTTTTCATCTAAAATAAAAATGGAGACAAATTATTTGTTCTCTTAATTCCAATAAATGTCAGTCAGTTGAGTGTTCATAAGTGAATAGGCAATTGGGTGATTATGTCTCTTTCGATTCATCACTAAGCAGAAGATTTTCCTGCAGCAGGTTGCCATTTCGTTCTGAGCTAGACTGGTTGCCACTTAAAGCTAGAAGACCCAATCTGCCCGGCTATTTAACCCATAGCAAGGGAGAGAAGAGTAAAGACAGTCAGTTACCTTCCGTGATACACGTTTGGTCGACCATGTTCCTTTCAAAAATGACTGACTAGACAGAAGATTTCTCTGCAGTAGGTTTCCATTGCTTTCTGAGGTTGACTGGTTGCCACCCAAGGCTATAGGACCCAATCTGTTCTGCTATTTAACCCTTAGCTAAGGGGAGAAGAGTAAAGACAGTCACGTAACTACCGTGATATAAGCTTGGGCAACAATGTCTCTATCAAAATTGACTGACTAGGCAGAAGATTTTTCTGCAGTAGGTTGCCATTTCTTTCTGAGATTGACTGGTTGCTACCCAAGGCTATAGGATCCAATCTGTCCTGCTATTTAACTCTTAGCTAGCGGGAAATATTAAAGACAATCAATTACCTTCCGTTTGGGCGACCATGTCTCTTTCAAAAGTGACTGACTAGGCAGAAGATTTTTCTGCCTTAGGTTGCCATTTCTTTCTGAGATTGACTGGTTTCTACCCAAGGCTATAGGATCCAATCTGTCCTGCGATTTAACCCATAGCGAGGTGGAGAAGAGTAAAGACAGTCAAGTACCTCCCGTGATACACGCTTGGGCAAACATGTCCCTTTCCAACATGACTGACTAGGCAGAAGATTTTGCTACAGTAGGTTGCTATTTCTTTCTGACGTTTTCTGGTTGCCACCTAACGCTCTAAGACCCAATCTCTCCTGCTATTTAACCCATAATTTGCGGGATAAGATAAAAGATAATCAATTACCTTCCGTGATACACGATTCAGCGATCATGACTCTTACGAAAATGACTGACTAGGCAGAAGATTTCTCTGCAGGAGGTTGCCATTTATTTCTGAGGTTGACTGGTTGCCACACAAGGCTACAGGACCCAATCTGTCCTGCTATTTAACATTTGGCTAAGGGGAGAAGAGTAAAGGCAGTCAGTTACCTTCCGTGTTACAGGCTTGGGCAACCGTGTCCCTTTCAAAAATGACTGACTAGGCAGAAGATTTTTTTGCATTAGGTCTCCATTGATTTCTGAGGACTGGTTGCCATCCAAGCTACAGGACCCAATCTGTCCTGCTGTTTATCCAATAGCTAGAGGAAGAAGAGTAAACAGGGTCAAGTACCATCCGTGATAGACGCTTGAGCGACCATGTCTCTATCAAAAATGACTGACTATGTAGAAGACCTTTCAGCAGTAGGTTGCCATTTCTTTCTGAGGTTGACCGGTTGCCACACAAGGCTATAGGACACAATCTGTCCTGCTATTTAACCCTTAGCTAGCAGGAAATATTAAAGACAATCAATTACCTTCCGTGATACACGATTCAACGATCATGTCTCTTTCCAAAATGACTGACTAGGCAGAAGATTTTTCTTCAGGAGGTTGCCATTTTCTTTCTGAGGTTGACTGGTTGCCACCCAAGACTATAGGACATAGCTAATTTCTGCTATAGATTGGTTGATATACAAACCATTTTCTCCTGTTATTCAACCCATAGGTGGGGAGAAGAGATAGATTCGTACTTTTCCCAAGGCTATTTGCGGGTAAGTGTATATAACTACCGCGACTGGAATTGAACTTGGCTCTCCGATTTAACAATTAAATGTCCTTATCAATTACACCATCCGCACATCCGATAAATGACAGAATAAGACAAATGTAAACAAATTTTATTTTCACTTATTAGAAAATTAACTAAAATATCTGACGTCTTGCAATACGTCCAGATAGCTGGGTGTGAGTTAATACTGTGAATCATCGCCTCACAAATTTTGCTATTTCCTAGAGGTATCTGTATATTTTTGGCTGTCTGTTGTCTCTCATAGTCTCCACAAAGGAGGGGCCTGGCTATAGCAGAATAAAAAGCGTGATAGCAGATCTTCTGAAGACAGCGGAAAAAGCATCGCTCTTCATCTAGTTAAAGCGTGATGATGACATTTGGTTGGAGGACAATTGAGAAAGACCAGTTAGCACCGATCCAGATGAAGCCTCCACAAGTGAGGGGCCCGGCTATAGCAGAATGCAGTACAAGAAAAGCGCCCGAAACTTGCTGTTATGGTTCTTCTTGATGATTTGGATTGGATCCAGAAATGAAGCTGCTAACTCGTTAACAGTATCTTGTTTATTTTTCCTTCATGAATATTTTCGAAATGTCAGCTAATTCGATGTCAAATTGTTTGAATGCTGACCAAAATTTATATCGAGTGATGCATAGTAAGTTGATTTTGCAAACCTTATCAGCGATCTCGTGATAATTTTTGGAGTTATTTTTAACCATGAGTCATTAGTACTGACACCGCTATAACCTGGGGAACAAACAACAGTTCACACAGTATGGGTACACAAGTTCTTCACGGCCAATATAAAATACAAACACCCAAAGGTCAACAAGAAAAGTCATAACCACTTTTTGTTGTTGTTTTATATTTTTATGAAAAAGACCTCGAAGTGTGCTTCTACAGAAGGATTCTAAGGATACCATGGACCAAACATATGTGCAACGATGAGGTTTTTGTGAGGATGTAATAATACTTAACATCAGGAAGAGGCAGCTGAAATTTCTGGGACACGTAATGAGAGAGGAGGGTTTGGAAAATCTGATACTCACATGGCGAATAAAGGGACATGGTAAAGCAATGCGTGACATACTTCAGCAAGTGGATGTAAGAACAGGGCCTGGGTGAAATAACAAAAAGACAAAACTTATTGAGAGCTACAAGGGACAAGAGGAGGTGGAGAGCCATGATCGCCTACGTCCTGAATGGACGCGGCACATAAAAGAAGACGAGAGATAGGAAAATATTTAACATATTTGATAAGACACTCTCTTCATAAGTGGCCATTATTTAATACAGAATACAACAGTAACTTGCCGTGCCGATTAAAGAAGGCGCGGGAAAAAACATCAAAGTTGTTTTGTAGAACAACACAGCTTACAGCGCTGCCAAGACTTTGAATGTTTTGAGGAATTTAAGGATTTAGAGCATTGACCATTCACAGTAATATTAGAATCTCCAACCATCCGATTATTCCCTGTTTCCAAACCATGAAAGGAGTTTTTAAAGTACAACATTTCCAAATGTTTCAGAGGTTATAAGAGCAACAGTGAGTATTTCATTAACCCTATATTTTTCTTTTTTGGGGGGGTGGGGGTCAGGGGAGAACTTGAAAAACGATGTGTCAAAATGTATTGAACAAAAGAGCGAATGTACAATAACATGTAGATTTCAAGATTCGTGGTCATAACTTTTAAGTTACGATCACTAGTCCCGTAACTCACTAGAGTCGTAGGGGCACCACCAGTACTGCAGCGGCGGTAGAAGTGCTGTGTCTTGAGTAAGATAACCTGACGGAGCCCAACCCTTTCCAGGCTGGTTTGAATTCAGAGTTTTCCTTCTCCCAAGGCTATAGAACTCAATTACCCATAGCTGGAGGGGAGGGGAGAAGAGATAGATTCATACTTTTCCCAAGTGTATTAGCACGTAAGTGAATGTAATGAACTCGACTGGACTTCGATCTCGACAAAATATTGATGATAAAATGGGTGGGGGGGGCAGCGTTATATTCGAAGTGATTATTTTGGTATTTTCACAAACTTTGTCCTCGATGGCTGTCTGCATTTGCAGTGCATGCGTACTTATCAATGGTCTTAGTGGCGTCACTCCATCCGACCATTATCCAATTCAATCATGTATGCGAGAAGACCAGTTACGGCATCTGGTAGCCAAGACACTCAGACAATACCTCGTATAAACACCTGATCACCAACATTGTCTCGGGCATGTTGTTGCTCTTTCCGGTTACTCTGCTGTATTTTAACCTTTTCTTATATAAAAATAAAGTGCCGGTGCTGATGTTTTAACATAGATCGCCAGTGAGCAAACACAGGCGATACCATTATTGAATTAAGTAGACCACGTGACTATAGAGAAAACGCCTAAGTAGGAAGTTGATTAGCGTCTAATTAGTATTCTATCCTCCATTACTATTCGGATCTTTACTTCTATTTTATTCTCTATTACTATACGATTCGCTATTCTCTATACGATTCCTCTATACTGAACACTATACGGATTACTATTCGAGTGAGTGTTATCGAGCAAGTGCTATTAGTGCAAGTGTTATTCGAAGGCGTCTGGCACCAGTATTGTTCAACGGCGTTACTATAGTTGTACCTGCGATTACAAAGTCTCTACTACAATGAGCATTACGAAGGTGACAACGAGTATTGGTTGGCACCACAAAAGTGGCAACGAGGGTTCGTTGATATCACAAAATGTTTGTTACCTGATCTGATTTTCATTGCATCCATATGCGTTCGAACCTGCCGATGAAACATCAAGTAAAAACATTTGTGACCTATTCTTTAGTATAGAGTGTTCCGGTAGCGCAATAAGAGCCGCGCGCGTGGTCGGTAAATATCCCCCCACCTCTTTATCTTCTTGAGATATTCTTTCACTACCTACACATCTCTCTCTCTCTCTCTCTCTCTCTCTTGTCTCCAGGTCTCCACGCTACTAGAGAGAGAGAGAGAAAGAGACTCTCCCTCTCTCTTTCTCTCTCTCTCTCTCACTCTCTTTTGTCTCCAGGTCTCCACGCTACTAGAGAGAGAGAGAGACTCTCTCTCTCTCTCTCTCTCTCTCTCTCTCTCTCGTCTCCGGGTCTCCACGCTACTACATAAAAGGTATCAACGAAAAGG